CGCGCGCGCGCATGTGTGTGTTAAGCCCACACACGTAACACTCACTAGTCTTTTCATGAAACATTCGGGGCTTGAGCCCAAGTAGCCGGGCCTAACGCCGCCCCTGGCTACATCTAAGTAGTGTAAAATCACAACGTCAGTTCACAGTTCGCTCGTGTGCGCACACACACACACACACACACACACACACACACACACACGTCATGACTAATTTTATTGAACTGCATTAGTAATACTTTAATCTCTTATTCTGGAGTAAAATAAAGAAACAAGCTAAATCAGCCATATCTGTGGCATCAAGGAGCATCTTCTGAGTTCAAACACAGGGATGGAGCACAATGTTTACACCCGAACAGTATCAGGATGGTTTAACTCACAGAGGCCTGCAGGTCTTCTGTTTTATGAGCAAAGTGATGATAATCCGCTTATTAGGAGCGCTAAACGTTATTTTGCCGCTTCCGTGCGGAGCGGTAGGGAAACACATTTCAAACACGGAACCGAGTCTGGCTACCGAACCGAGCAGAATTCTGATGACGTCACACCGGTGCGGGAAGGTGCGGGTTCCAACCCACAGGAGAGCAGGGAGAGAGGAGGTGAACAGCGAGTGGATCACAGGGACTGAACTGATGTTTTTGAGCAAAACTGCGGTAAAAATGGCTGTTTGTCCTCATTATCAAGTGTACTCCCCCACGGCGCTCATGCAGGTGTCTCTTTCTGTTCCAACGCAGCGACATGCAATACTTTTAATTTATTAAGCCTCCAATTTATTTTTACTCAGTAACGGATATGATTTAAAATGTAGCGAATTACAATTATTTTTAAAAACGTACTCAAGTAAAAATAAAAGTACAGATTTTAAAAACGACTTAAAAAGTATAAATATACAAAAAAGCTACTCAATTACAGCAACGTGAGTAATTGTAATACATTACTTTCCCCCTCTGTTGAATAGAATAGAATAGACTTTATTTATCCCACAGTGGGGAAATTCACTTGTTACAGCAGCACCACCACTTCTTGTCTCGTCTTGTCCTCTTCCGCCTATCTGGGTCCGGGTCGCAAGGGCAGCATCCCAACTAGGTTCATTCATTACTGTAAAGCAGTCCAGACATTTTTAACCCTGCTATGTGCTTCCAGTCGACAGCGTTGTTGCACCAGTAAAGGCTCTGAGTGTGGACCACTGGGAGATTTGTCTTAACATCAAAAGGAATGAAAATAAGTGGTCCGATGGAGGCAAAGAAGAAGATGGCAATGGTCATTTTAGTGGCTCCATTCGAAACGGCATTATGTGCTCAGAAATGGCTTAAAATTTCTCATTGTAAGGAGAACATTTAATTTAACCCAAAGGGGCTTTAGGCAGGAAGTGTCAGAATTCATCAAATAAATATCCTATCTTCTAATTCCCACTGGAATGAGCCCGTGTAAGGAAACCCCATAGTGCATCAGATGCAGATGCACCGGTATTGCCTAGTTGTCAGCGACTGGCTAATTAAAGCCAATTATAGTTTATGGGTTGTGTGGTCTGAGTGGCATTGGCTTTCAGGACCTGATCATTTGTCTCTCCAATTCAGTGACACAGAGGAGTTTACGGGGGGAGAGAGAGAGAGAGCTCTGAAAGAGACAACTTTCCAAGAGAAATATGAAATCCTTTCAACATTGTGCTGCTGTATCACCCTGTGGAAGTTCTTAACAACCTGCGTTCTTTCATTTCATGGACCAAGGTGGCTTCACATTGTGTTCAGTTTAACTGAAAAGACCTGTATCATTATATTTTTAACATTTCAGAGCAAAGATAGGCTCACATACATGTATGATTAAAAGATCACCATTGGTTTTCGAAGTGCTCTGCCCACCAATCCACAAAGTCCTGAGTTAAGGTCAGCGGTGCTCTGTCCCCACTATAAACAGTGTTGGTGGTGGACTGCTTTCCCATCCTAAGACGCCAGATGGTGAAGCAGAATTTCCTCAAAGCCAAATGGAAATTTTGCTCACTGAACCCCTCCCACGACTGGGTTTTTGCTTTTGTGAACATCTGGGCCAACTTCCACCAAATGCCAGTACCTATCAGGTGCCAGAGTCCCACAGGCCAAAAGGACACAGACTTTTTTCTTCTCCTTGATAGCATCCCTAACTGCCTGTATTCACCAATGGGTTAGGGGATTGCAGCCACAGCTCTGGTCAACTGTCTCAACAATGGAAGCACGGAACCAGCTTTTCCAGCTCAGTGGCCTAGTGGTAGAGTGTCCGTCCTGAGACTGGGAGATCAGGGTTCGATTCCTGATCGGGTCATACCAAAGACAGAAAAAATGGGACCCAATGCCTCCCTGCTTGACACTCAGCATTAAGGGGTTGGATTGGGGGTTAAACCACCAAATGGTTCCCGAGCACGGCTGTGTCTGCAGCTCACCGCTCCCCCAGGGGATGGGTCAAATGCGGAGAACAAATTTTGCACACACATCAGTGTGTGTGACAACTGCTGGGACTTTAACATGGCCCACTTGGATTCAATGTGCAACATCTCCTTTGGGACATGTTTGAATTTTTGTTGAAGCTAAAACTTGAAGCTCCTTCTGACAGGAAACTCAGCCAGATGTTCCTCACAATACGTTTGTGTCTGCCAGGTCTGACTGGCATCCTCCCCCACCATTGAAGCCAATCCACCACCGGGTAGTGGTCAGTTGACAGCTCCACCCCTCTCTTCACCTGAGTGTCCAAGACATCGGGCCACAGATCAGAAGAGACAAGATGCTGGTGAAGGTTCTCAGTCTGAGTCCTTAGCCTCTATTGTGTCATTGTATTGATTAGATGCAGAGGATGTGACCTTGACTGAAACTGTTTGGGAATAAAATTCAGAGCTGCGTTATAGTCCCGATAACTAATATTTTGGCCTCCGGTGGTTGATGTGGAAACCATTGATGTAGTAGTTAACAGAATCGAACCGGATAAAACTCACCACAGAAGATAATTACACAATGAATAGAACTAACGGCAAATTCAACATACTTCAAATACGATGGAACAATATATGAACAACTGGAAGGCTTTGCCATGGAAAACCCATCGTCAGCTACCCTCTGTGAATTTTTGATGGAGGACCTAGAGCAAATAGCCTTAACCACAGACCCAGCCCCCCCCCCCCCCCCCCCCCCAACATGGGCAATTATCAAAGGAAAGCAACAAGTAACTGAAAGAACCATCACAAGAAACCAGAAAGCACTGAGACCAAACCTGTAATAACCCTTCCACACATCAAAGGCATACAGCAAAGAATATAACAGCGATGAAGAAACACAACATGAACACACCAACAAAACCGTGTATGACCGTAAGAAAAGACCCAAAAGATAAGATATCATCAGCACTAAAATGTGGAGTCACTTTCGAAATCCCAGGTAAACTCTGCAGTAAAACATACATAGGAGCAACCGGACGCCACCTCAACACACCAACAATAGAACATAGAAAAGAGTGTGAGGAGAAATGAGTGGAAGACACACAAGAGCAGCTAGACAAGAAGCAGAAAGCACAGTAAAGAAATCAGCTGTAACCGACCACCGCACAGCAGAAAACCATGTAATGGACTGGCAACACGAATCCTAGACACAGAGCTACAGACATTCAAAGATGGGTCAAAGAAGCGATAGAGATAAGGAGACATGGACGCAGGACCATGAACAGGGATGAAGGAGTCTACACCCTGGACCACTCATGGGACACGCTGATCAGCGGAGAAGGCGGGCAGCAGAGGGCGATATCGTCCACCAACATCTGGCAGTTGGTCTGACGAAGGTGGCAGTGATTGTTTAAACATGTCAGCAAAGGTAACAACAAACTCTTGTTACAAAAGAAAATGACATTTAAAAAGGCTGCTGTAACCTTGATCCTCAGTTCTTCAGCTTCTGTCTCCCTGAGGTTGTTGTTGCATATGGTAGATTCTGTGGCAGTGATGAAATCTGCTGTGGGGATGTGTTGTGGAGAAATGGTCAACAGGAAAAACCTACATTTAATAGGAGAGGAGTACTCAGGTTTCACCTTTCTAGGTCCCACCTTCCTGCATCTAATCAATACAACAACTCCCGCATACAGTAGAGGCTAACGCCTCATCGGGGGGGAGGGAGGAGGGTCATTCACAGTTAGTTTCTGCTCATTAAGCTACAACAGACAGCTGCAGTTTATAATCAAGTCCCATTTGTCATCATGGGACAGCAGAAGCTCAGGACGTAGAGCGGGTTGTCCAGTAATCGGAAGGTAGCAGTTTCAATCCTGGTGCCGACCGGGCGCTGTTGTGTCCTTGGGCAAGGCACCTAACCTGCCACCACCTGCTGGTGGTGGTCGAAGGGCAACTCCAGAGTGGTAGTGTTCCCAACTTCTTTCAAGGAAACTCCTCTCAACCTCACAAGCCAACTCGGGCCCTTTTCCCACCAGAGAGGTGACATTCAGCATATTGTGAGCTAGCTTCTGCAGTGATCATCATATCGCCATGGCCCCCACCTTCGGCCACCACCCAACACACAATGCACCCAACCACTTTTGCCCCTCTCATAAGTGGTGAGTGGGGACTTGCGTCTCCTCTTCTAGCATCCGGCCGAGCACCATGGGTGAAAGTCCGGCCACTAAATGCACGCTAACATGCTCCACCTCCAGAGGGGGGCCCCGGTGGCCCATGTCCGGGTGAGGCAACACTGTTTCATTTGTGGTCCTCGCATACCCTACCAGAGGCATAACGCCTAACAACATGGCTCCAACACGGTAAGAGGGAAGGGTGAGACACGGCTCTGAGTGTAAAGCTTTAACGGGAGTTAGCTATGACATGATTTTTTTTTAGGGGTAATGAACTTTTGGTTGAGCAGAGCTTTCTGGTCGGCTCAACAGCACCCGCAACATATCCGCTAAATTTAGAGTTCAAAGTCCCAAATTTAACTTTCAGTGCTCAATTACAAAGCACCGAACTACCCTAATGTTGTTCTGCCATTTCACTTCATCTTTCTGTCTCCCACCAGAGTAACACCATCCTCCACTTGGACCTGGTAACCGGCGCTGTACGAAGGCTTGTGTTGACCCCAGACGGTGATTCAGGTCCTTCCAGAACCCCAAGCTGGTGGAGCACTAAGAATCCTCAGGTCAGAGCTTTCAGAGGGATGGCGAGTTGCTGTGAAGTTCTTTGTAAACATCTTCTTCCTGTGATGACATTCATGCGTTTTCCATCTCCTCCTGACCGGTTTGACTTTGATGCATCTGCTGAAGAACTTTGCTGTGTTACTGAACGTTTACATGTGATGAAGCCTGACTCAGCTCTGAAGGATGAACCCTGTCTGATGTGTGCTTTGATTGCAGCAAGGATACAAGATGTGTCGAGAATTTGCCCATAAAAACTGGCTTCTGTTCTACGTGGAGGACGGGTGAGAGACTCGTTCTGTATGGCTGAGGACTGCACTGTCTTCTGTAGAGTCACCGTCTGTTCTCTGTGTAGCAACCAGCTGGAGCTTCTGGATGTTCTAGAAGGTCACGTTCAGTCCATCTCTCTCCCCATCAACCTGAAGGCAGTTTTCTTGGTGGCAGAGGACTGCTGGCTGCTGCTAGAGAGCAACACCAACAGGTGAGTAATTGTTCCAAACGTCTGGAGAGTTTCATTTAATCTCTAACATGTGTCGTAATGTTTCAGGAAGTTTCTTCTCACCAAGCCAAAGCACATCGCAGCAGAACATACTCAAGTATGTCAGCTTCACAGCATCAGTGAGGACACGGTCAGCTGTGGTGACGAAGCCAGCTCAGGTACAGAGGCAACCGACTGAATATTAATAATACACACACTCACACGCATGCACGCACACATACACATGCACGCACGCAGAAACCCTCTCTCTCTTTTACGCTGACATTTCTGCTCGTTGGTCTCATGAAAGGATTTCTTCAGTCGTCAGGTGTACAGTCATGTTCTGTGTCTACAATGAATGTTCCATCTAACACGATTTAATAACTCAATCATGTTTTATTCCTATAATGATTTATTTCAGAGCTTCAATGACACCAGATTGTGATGGTTTAGTGATATAATATTAATCAGTATGAACACATCACTATGTTATCACTAATGGTTAACACGTTTTTACCTTGCATTAGGAAATAACCTCTCTGAGTGTTTAGAGAGCAGACTGGTGTCGGAGGTTTAGACTTGTCCAGTTCTGATTTGTCTAAATTTGTAAACAACACTTTATAAATTAGAGTTCACTTCCTGAACTAATCAGTTCTCAGCCGCTTCCCGGTTTGGCCAACGGGTGAGCAAAGCACAAGGAACCATCCACGCTTTTGACCCCAAGGTCAAAGCCTCTTAGCAACACTTGCAAGCTTATCAGACGCAACAACGCATCAGACGTGGAGCATCTTACTAGCAGACCCTGGCAGCATCTTCTGGCTGGTGATCATGTGACCTGCACGCTGGCGTTGGATGGCTTTATGAATAACCAACAGCTGGTTTAACTACCCACACATTTCTCAGATACTTAACAAGGTTTTGCTACTTAACAGCTAGGCTAATGGCCTCAGTGACCTCGTTAAGGCACCCCTCGTTACTGTCGTGGATAATCATTAGTTTATAAATACAGACCCAAAGTAACTTTTATAAACTAAATACTCTGTGTGGATTCATAGGAAGTGTGTGTTTCCCTGGCAGCACCAAGAACCTAAGGTAATATTAAATCAGATGTTCAGAGACCAATCAGGTCGATAGTTCATATTCATGTGGAATATCACATCTTATTGGCCATCTGGTGAACATAACCACTCCCGTCACTACAGTGGCGTAGAGGAGACCACTCTGAGATGGAGTGGCACCTTTCTGTCAGAGCAGGACAGCTCATGCTGGCCGAGGCTGTGTTTCAGACCTTCGCTCCATCAGAACTCTAACCTGATGTCTGACTGGTTTCCATCAGAGCTTTCTACACTCCAGATGGTGTCGGTGGAGCAGCTACCCAGTGAGAACCTCAGTGTGGCTCTGGGTCAGAAGATCGTCTCCCCAAACCGCCTGCTGGTGAACCCCAGCTCCTTCGCTCAGATTGTGGTGGGCTTTCCGGACCTCATGGTGAGATGATGGCAGCTGGTATTCTCCACTGGGTCCTGGTGGTGTTTCAGGTTTCTATGGTGATGTTTTCTTCTTGTATTCCTGGGCCTAGTCCTCTAACCAGGTCTACAGCTTCAGGAGACCTTATGACCTGTCAGACATGAAAAGCAGCGAGGCAGGATCTCACATGTTCTTAAGAGGAAGAGTTCAAAGTGGAGCAGCAAAACGGGAGAATTGTGTCACTCTGCTCTCAGCCAATCAGGTGGTCCGAGCCCTTCCCTCCAGCAAGGTGCCTCTGAAAGACGTGTACTCTAAAGGTCAGCGTTCTGGGTCGATGGTACTAGTGATGAGCCTACGTCCTGGATGTAACAACCAGTTCTGTCTGTTTTCCAGATGCCACTCCCCCTATGACATCAGCGTACCTGGAGGTTACAGATCTCACATCAAAGAAACTCAAATACATCCCAGTTCCCAGGTAAACAAGCTCACCTGCATTACCTCTCCATCTCATTAGATCTTACCTCAGCTGGTGGAGAAGAGAAGCATCACAGCCAGTCGGTCACCCTGGACCGGTCTCCCATCCTCACAGCCACTCACAGCCTCCCACTAAACCCCAAATACTGGACTGAACTGGTTTTGTCTGAATGGTATCCTCCTTCTCTTTCACCAGTCCTCACATTTGAAATCCTCCTCTGTGGCACAACTGATACTTTAGAACCAGCTTCAGAACCTCTGAGCCGGTCCTGGTTTCAGGTGGATCCAGAGAAAGTCAGAACTGTACAGCAGCAACTCTCTGCTGATGGGAATGAGCCAGGCCTGCAGCTGGACTCGTAACAGTAACACAGAGGAGAACGCCTGTCACCACGGTAATGGCTGCCTGGCCCTCAGTCCCGGTTCTGGTTTAGATACAAGTCTTTCATTAGTTTTGAAAGCAGTACGTGAAAGGACCCCTTCATAGATGTCGGCTCGGTATGAACCACCTTGCTCACTCGCTGCCAAACGTTAGGGACCAGGATTATTTAGGGCTGCTGATGATAAAATGTGTTTTTTTTCTATTTAATAATACAAATCTGTCATGTTGTTGTTTACCTGTGTAGAAGAACTGGTTCGGTTCTGTGTGTCCTGATTGTCCCTCATCTCTGTGCCAGGTCTAGGACGATGTCCCCCTACACCAACTGGCTGTCCAAAGTGTCTGAGTGTGATGTTCTAGTCGCTGCTCTTGGTTCTGGAGGCGTGGTCACGGTGGACGTGGGGGGCTGTGTCCGGCTCTGGGAGACAGGACTGGACACCCTGCAGCAGTCTCTGATGGAGTGGCGGAATATGATTGGTACTGAGGACGGCAGACCGGTACAGGTAACAGAACTTGGCTTCTGTCTGCAGTTCCCTTCCAGCCCACTGGGGGCAGCATTACACCACAGCCTGAGGTTTCTATGCTTTACACATTTTCCAGTTTTGAGGAGCGATCAGACTCGTGTCCCTGCAGAAGCAGAGTGTGAGAGAGAGTGTGTTTTGTTGGAATGATGCAATAGTTTGGCCTTCAGAGCGGATCAGAACACGGGTAATGCTACGCCTGTCATGCAAACCCATCTGTCAATATCTTACCCATAGTGTTATTCTATAGGTCAGTCCGAGTTTGTAGGTACTTATTCCCAGCTACGGTCATGTCTAATCTTCCCATTTTATTTTGAATCTTTAAGTTTCGGGTTGGAGAGCAATCGAAGATAAAACCTGAGACTTTTCCATATTCAGTTAGAACCAGAGTGAAAGCCAAACTGCTCTAGAATTTCCATTAGATGTGTAAAAGTTGTAACTGAATCATTTAGGTAAATTAATACATCATCTGCAAAGAGACTTCTCACATGTCCATGACCTTTTATGCCTACCCCTGTTATAGTGGTGTCGTGTTTGATCATCCGTGCCTGGAGGCTCAGTGGATAACACAAATCATATACAGTAATATATAGAATAATACAGGTGGGCTTGGGCTGTCTCATAGGTCTTCCACGTCTTTGTCTGCACGGCACAGCCCTGGCAGGTCATTTGTGTTCACATCTGGGTAATCTATGCTGAGCCAACCGATTTTTTAGATCTGCTCTCCGACAGTCAGCTTAACGCGGAGCCGATCCAACACACCCACTCCCGGCTGATTGGCTGGCTGGTGTTCATGCCTACCTGCTATAGAGGGAACCTTTGGTCGGCTTAGGAATGGGCAATACGGCCTAAAATCTGGATCGCGATACATTTTGAAGCACATGCATTAATTACATGAATGCATATTCTTTTCTTCTGTTTATGACTCTTTTTGAACAATCTTACATTCCAGATGAATTGTAGAACAAACTATTCTAAAGTATGAAATAAATGATGTTTCATTTTTAAAACTTATTTAAATAAATACAAAATATCTCTAATGGTTTTTATGTGAAGGTTCTTTGTCTAATCAATGCAACAAAAAAGATCAAAATAAATAAAGATGATTTAAATTGAATACAAGCTAAATGTGATGAAAACACTCAATTAGAATTTGTTTGAACTAAAGTGAAAATTCCTGATTAATGTTTCATGTTTTGTTGCTCATAGAAGTGAGGTTGTGCGTCAGGAGTGAATAACTGCAGGTAAAATGATGCTCTGTTGCGTATTTTTGTCAGAAACATTACCATAACAGCCGGGACTCTGCCGGCTGCTGGTTATGGCCCCCCGGGGCGATCCTCTGTGCCTCTCGAGGGGGGCGGGGGCCTTTCTGGTTGCAGTCTCCTTGGGGTTCCTGTGTTCTGGGGCAGCGCCTGGATCTCTGGGACTTGGAGCTCCCCCCGTCTCCTGCGCATCTTTGGGGGGGCAGATCTGTGGTCCCTCACACTCTCTGTTGGACGCTCCTATAGAAAAACCTTACATAAACAAGCGCGTGTACACACACAGGTGCTCACATGGTGCTCTCAAAAGTATGGAGTTGGGCACGTTCAACACAGGTCTTAAGACTATGGTGGGCACTTAATGCACTGTGATTTATTATCGTGATTCTTCAGTTAAGCAATGTTGATTATATATTTTCTTCATCAAGTTGACGCAGTGATAGCTTGATCTTGTTGTATTGTTGTTGTGTCCCATTTTTTTTTGTCCTTTTGCTTTCTTTTTTGTCTTTTTCTGCAGGTCTAGAAGCAGACTCTTGTTCATTATTGTTTATTTTTGTGGATCCCCCCCCCCCCCCCCTCTCCCCACCTTTTCTTTTCCTTTCTCTTTCACCTCTGTCTCCGTGTCTGGTCGGAATTACAAAGCATTCAACAACAATAACAATAAAGTTTTAAGTATCAGGCGTGACATTAAAAGCAGACGCTTTGATGCTCCACCTGAGAGTAAATCTGTAAGGCTTGTCACCAGCATTCAGACATCACTTCTGCTTGCTTCACAGCCAGACAGGACACGGTAAAAAAAAAAAAAAAAAAAACAGCTGAAAGTGGAAAGGAAACGGTTTTAACGAAGTCAGAGGAGATGTCCAAAAAGTTTGAAAGGCTTTGAGTTTATCATCTGTTGAAAAAGCAAATGTCATTTAGGCGTTAATGAGCTAATGATACAACTTTACTCTCACCAGCATATTTTACTGAGAATCTTTCTCTGCTCACCACCTGACTCCAGACCAGGTCCGTACAACTGGTGTAACCTCATGAAGCACCTTTAGAAGCACGTCTACATCCACCGTCTGCCTGTCCGCTCAGCAACAGCTTTCCTCCACAGCTCACATAGATGGACAACATTCATGCAAACGTGGTAGAAGTGCATGCTCAGCCATGTTGCTGTGTTGAAGCTCTGAACTGTCGCGCTCCTCGATGACATCATCATTAAGCACACCCGGTTACCTGGTAGTACATCATTCTACATCATATGCCATTATCATACCCATTCTGTCTAATACCAGTTTTACTGTGCATTAGGCTTTTCTCATCAGTTGGTCCTTGGGTTCTTGCTATTACTCAGAGCATTGTCTCTGGAGTAATACCAGAGAACTGGATGCATGAGCTGATTGACTGCTTAACAGGCGACTTGGGTTGTCCCTCCTCAGCTAGCATTAGCGGATGCTTTTTCAAATGCATGCACATAGAACTTGTACTTTTGTTATGTTTTAGAACAGACTTGCAGATTTTACATCTCACAGAACTAGAAGATTCATCTTTAGTGACGTATTTCCACACAACTGAAACATTTGTCTAGCCTAGTGAACTAGACCAAATTCTTGCTTTGCAAAGTTTGGTCTAGGCATGCTCCATTGGAACCTCCGCAGCTCCTACCAGGACTCTGGCTAGCCAATCACAGCTCTCTAGAGGGGTTTCAAACACATAAAGAGCTGTGATTGGTCCATAATGGTGGGCCAATCATAGTGCTCTATCTGCTTAGAGAACAAATCACAGAGCTTTATCCGCTTTGTGGGCCAATCAGGGCACTCTATATGCCTGGTGGGTGGGATGATGCAACAGAGTGAAACACGAGTATGTCACATTCATTGTCCAGTGAAATGCGGAGATCATTTAAAAGACAACGGTAGAACCCGCCCCACAACCGAGAGCCATCAATGGAGCATGGCCAGACTAAATAATACATTTATTTAGTCTGGCTTGCCAGGCTAACATTTGTCAGTTTCCCCTAGGAATTTTTCCAGCTGTGTGTGTGTGGGGGGGGTGGGGGGGGGGGGGGTGGGGGTGGAGGAGGATGACATGTCTCACCTTTATGTTAACATTGTTTTATTTGATGCTCTCCACTTTGATCTGGAGTTTTATCTCCTGGTAATCAGACAGCTTATGTCCCGTTCCTAAAGCCAGAAGGTGAGTCAAACGCACTTCCTGTTGGCAAAAACATCTGAGAAACTAGGCAGAGTCCAAAGTAACGGAGTATTCAGCCCAAGCATGACTTTCATAGCGACTTGGCTGGAAGCTGTCTTCTGTCCCCATTACTGTCCTGAAATCAGGCTGAGCAGGTGGGTCATCCTGGCACCTGCTGATGTCTAAAAGGAGATAAATGTTAACGTGAGGATAGAAGTCAGAACAGTAACTGCTTATTTCATCTTGTATTTTTATTTAT